AAAGATGGGACATTTTCTTTTTCCAGGCTGGGGCTTTATCTGGCCTGAACTTTGTGCAGGTTTTGTGTATGCTGTCACAATCTCTGTGAGTTCTTATGTACCTCTGCCCTGTTGTGCCTGGAAAATGCTGTTGTCCACCACCTTTGACTCTTATAATCTTTCTGCTTCCTCCGTAGTTCCTTGAGGGTTTCCAGGAAGGGCATTTTGTGCTAAGTGCTGCAACAGCTTGTGGGTCATGACCCCCTTGGGGGGTCAAATGACCCTTTCAAGGGATTGCCTAAGACCACTGGAAAATACAGATGTTTATATTACAACTCATGACAGAAGCAAAAATTAGTTACAAAATAGCAATAAAAATAAGTTTATGGTTAGGGGTCACCACAACATGAAGAACTTTATTAAAGGGCCACATCCTTAGAAAAGTTGAGAACCACTGTGCTACAAAGTTTCCCACTGTCTGCATACTGAGCAGTTGTTGGTTTCTGTGTTATTTACCACCTACGGAAAGAAGCCTCTCTGATGAGGGTTGAGTGATGCTCTGATTTATAGCAATATGTTGTTAGAAATAGTTTGGTAGCCAGGTGGTGGTGATACACACCTTTAATCCTAGCACTTGGGAGGCAGAGGCAGGTGGATCTCTGTGAGTTCAATGCCAGCCTGGTCTACAGAGCCAGTTCCAGGACAGCCAGGACTACGTAGGGAAACCCTGTCTCAAAAAACAAAACAAACAAACAAACAAAAAAAAACCAGAAAAATAAATACATAAATAAATATTTAAAAAAATTTTTTTGAAAAGTTGTTTTGCTACTATGTTCATTTAGCTGAATAATAGTAGTAGGTTTTCCTTCCAGCCCATGATCTATCTAGTCCCAGGTTCTTGGCCTCATTAAAAGTGTCAGGTAAGGTTTCCATATCAAGGAGTGAACCATAAATCCAATAAAGTGATTGGTTACTCTCATAACATTTGTGCCACTTTTGCACCAGGGGGTATCTCTTGGAGGATCATCATGGCTCTTAAGCCTCAGGGTTTCTTTATGTGTTATCATTTCAGGATAAGGCCACAATAACTATTTCTGAACATGGCATGGGCAGTGTGAACTAGTACCCTTATAAGGCCTTAGTAATACATTTGTACATTTAACTTGTTTCATTAAAATTGTACAATGGACAGAGTCAACAGTTTATCCTTAGTTCTACTCTTCTATCTCCTGGTATTTACCTTCAGATTTCTTCATTTGTTTTCTTTTTTTTTAAGATAGGGTTTCTCTGTGTAACAGCCCTGGCTGTCCTGGCACTCACTCTGTAGACCAGGCTGGCCTGGAACTCACAGAGGTCTTCCTGGCTCTGCCTCCCATGTGCTAGGACTAAAGGTGTGTGCCCCTACCGCCAGACAACTTCAGGTTTCTGAATCATTGTTACCACATTGTTCTTTTTCAAATTTCCCTTGGTGCAGGAGGAATGTTTAATAGACTTAGGTGGCCAGTGCATTTGCCTTTCTACCACCCCACCCTTACACTGCAGTTTGGGAAATGGTTTTTGGCCTGGGGTACTTACAAATTTCATACCAAAATGAGCACAAAGGCAACTTAGTTAAGGTTCTCTCTTTTTGAACTTTTTTATCTTGAAATATTTTAAATTTTTGTTTTAAATTTTTTATTTAAATTTTTTAAAATTTAATTTAAATTTATTTAAATTTTTATTTTAAATTTTTAAATATTTAAAATTTATGGTTCTTGTTCATTTTTTTTTAAAAAAAAATCTTTGTCTCTTCCTTAAATTGAGACAGGGTCTCTCTTTACAGGCTTGGGTGTCTTGGAACTCACTATGTAGACCAGGCTGGGAACAGAAGTCACAGATGTGCTGGCCTCTGTCTCCTGAGTGCTAGGATTAAAGGTGTGTGCTACCACACCTGCCCCCTCTTCTTTTCTTTTCTTTTCTTTTTTCTTTTTGGTATTTTTAGAATGAGTTTCACTGTATTGTCTTGATTGTCCTAGAACTTCCAGGCTGGCTCGAACTCACAGAGATCCACCTACGTCTGCCTCCCAAGTGCTGGGATTAAAGGCATGCATTACCATCACCCAGCCCCCTTTTTCTTTTTTAAACATATCTGTCTGTCTGTCCGTTTGTCCATCCATCCATTCATCTATATTTTATGTGTGTGATTGTTTTGTCTGTCTGTATGTATGTGCACCACATGCATGCCTGATACCTTCAGAGGTCAGAAGAAGGCACCAGATCTGGCTGTGGAGTCAAGGATGGCTGTGAGCTACCATGTGGGTGCTGGGAACAGTGCCTAGGTCCTTTGCAAGAGCAAAAACACATGCTCTTAATTGCTGACCTATCTCTCTGGTGTTCTCCCATCCTGTTCTTAATTAGGCTTTTACTCTGTTCTCAATAATTCAGAAAAATATGTTTCTTGATTACCATAGTCACTGATAACTGAAGCAATTTTCTTCAAAGACCCTAGGTAGTTGGACTCTATTTAGTAAATAAGGGTAAATTGTCTGAAGAATGGTAGTGCACCTCTGACAAAGAACCTAGGGGAGTTTATCACTATAGTTGGAACTTGAATGGAAGCAGAGGCTCTGAATACACATAGAAATTCTTAGTAGTCTGTGTCAGATGTTGTGAACTTACCTTCTTTTTCTTAGAAAATACACACAAGCGCCACCATTTATAAGCAGCTTTGTGTCTCAAGCTGGAGGCTGCCTTCTCTCACTTCACTCAGTAATACTTAATCTAGTCCTCATGAGCCAGCCACAGAACATAGGGAAGACATGCAGTTAAGGGAAATTCAGAATTCATGCACTCCATCCAACGAGAGATATAGTTGATTTTTTTCCCATCCCTTCTTCTCAGTGACTCTTGGAGCTTGCTTGAGTCCCAGGGTTCAGATGGCTTCAAATGTTTTCTGTGGCACTAATAAAATCAGATATTTTCTTAGAAATTCTTCCTTTAGGAAATTCAGTTGTCAGGGATTCGTTTAGAGCAATATATGACTTTTAGGGTGTGTGTGTGGGAGTATAAGCAATCTTCTGTGAGAAACCTGAACAATTTCATTAGAACAGGTTGACTTACCCAACTGCTTTCTGATCTGACGTCTTAAAACAAGGACAACATGGCTGGATGTGGTGGCACGGGCCTTTAATCCCAGCATTCGGGAGGTAGATGCAGGCCAATTTCTGTGAGCTCAAGAAATCCTGTTCTATAAAGTGAACTAGAGCCACATATTGGGACCCAGTCTAAAACAACAGCAGCAGCAGCAGCAGCAGCAGCCACAACAACAACAAAAACAACAACAACAACATACCAAACCAAAGCAACCTCAAAGCCATGAAACAAAACAGAACTGAGGAAAAGGAATTACCAGGCGTATGAAAACAGATTTTGTTCATTAACATCTTTCTGAATCTTTGTGGTGTAACTCAACAAATCTGAAATTGATTCTTGGGATTTGTTGACTCAGTTTATTCCTTCAGTTAATTTCTACTGGCTGGAAAAGCACACTGGTAAGGAAAAGCAACAGCTGCCCTTCTCATAAGGAAGCATGAGGCAGACAACTGAGAGAAGGGCAGTGAGGAGGAAAGGCCTTGTTCAAGGCCACAGACAGAGACTCCTTGGTATTCGGTAGCTGAGCTACCCAGAGATCTCAGAGTTTACAAGGGTTTCATTTAGGACAAGGTGGTCTAGAGGGATTAATTATTGGGACTTGACAGATTGGATACGAAGAAGAGGGAGAAGTCAGCAACATAGCTAGGTTTTGACTCGCACGATGTACAAGAATAGAGAGGAGAGCCGAGAGGGACAGAGAGTGTGTATGTGTGTGTTTAGTATATGTGTGTGTTTGTGTAGGTGTGTACACATGTGCATACAGCATATGGGGGTCAGAGATTGATGTCTTGTGTCTTTCTTAGTGGTTTTCTTATTTTTTAAAAAAGATTTATTATGTATATACAGTATTCTATCTGCATGTATCCCTGCAGGCCAGAAGGGGGCAGCAGATCTCATTACAGATGATTGTGAACCACCATGTGGTTGCTAGGAATTGACCTCTGGAAGAGCAGTCAGTGCTCTTAACCTCTGAGCCGTTCTCTTGTTTTTTGAGACAGGGTTACTCACTGAACTTTGAGCTAATTGGTTTGCATAAACTGATTGGCTGTGAGATCTCTGGGGTTATACACATGTACATGCGAGCAACCACATCTGACTTTTATTGGGTACTAGGATTCTTAATTCAAGCTCTCATGCTTGCATGGAAGGCACTTTAATTATATGAATTATCTTCCAAGGTCTCCTCCCTTTGCTCCCTTCCTCCCTCCCTCCCTCTTTTTAAAAAAAGTTTGAGGTACATCTCATGTATCCCAGGATGGCTTAGAATTCATTATGTAGACAAAGATGATCTTGAACTTCTGACCCTCCTGCCTTTTCTTCTATAATTCTGGGATTGGTTTGTAGGTGTTCACCACCATGTCTCCTTTATGAGGTACTAGAAATCAAACCCAGGGCTTTGTGCATGCTGGACAAGTGGTTCACCAGTGGAACTCTATCAGTCCTCTTCCTTTTACTCTCCCTCCCTCCCCTCTCCTCTCTCTCCTTTCTTTCCTCTCTTTACTATGTAGCCCTAGCTGGCCTAGAACTAGCTCTGTAGACAAGAGCTGGCCATGAACTCGCAGAGATCCTCTTGCCTCTGCCCCCCTAGCCCTGGAATCACAGGAGTGTGCCACCATTCTGTATATGTAGTTCTAGGGATCAAACGCAGATCTTCACACATGCTAGACAAGAATTCTACTAGCCAAGCTACACACTCAGTTCTCTGACTTGAGTGAAAGATGAGATCTGGAGGTAAGAGGTTTATATAATTCAGGAAGGCTGTGACAGGTGGTTGCTTTTTATCAGGAACTCTGGGAGAACTGATTAGATACACTACTCTAGGGAATATTTTCCCAAAAAGTGTTCTACTGAAAATTTTGGATGATAAAACTGAATTTATTTTGTTAAAGGTAATCGACATGCCTGAACACACCCCTGGCGACTTGGGAGGAACAATGAGACTGGGATTAAGACGAACTGTTTTCACAACGGAAAATTCCATCTTGAGTAAGTATCCCAGAGTTTTGATTTTCATAAGACACCAGGGGTGGTTCATATGGCTGTGCCAGTAGCCATCTCTTAGAGAAGGCTCAACCCTACTATCCTTTTCAGCAGCTTTCCAAATACCCTCTCACCCAGCCATCTGCTCTTGCTGACCTGTTGCTTGAGACATTTACTCCCTATTCGAGTTCATTTCAAAGAGTGTTGGTTATGCACAAAATAACCCACTGAACAGTGACCCAGAGATCAAGTGATAACGGGTGCTATACTCTGTTTGTCCTGTCCCTGCATAAGTGCTGTCAAGAGCATTAATGAAATTCAAGTTTTGTTTTGATTTGTTTTTTTAGTTCATGGACCTACATTGAAAATGACTCCCTCTTTCACGTGTGAGCTATGCCAGAAACCTAAATGAACATATTTGTACCTTTCTACAATGTTAGCATCTATGAAATAACAAGGTTTAACAGTTTCAATGACAAAAATCCTTCATAAAATTTACTTATACCTACTTTGGTAGCTTGGCTGAGTTAAATGTAAGCTTTCTATTCCAGTCTTTTAAAAATTCTCTCTCTCTTATTCTTTCTTTCTTTTCAAGACCAGGTTTCTCTATATAACAGCCTTAGCTGTCCTGAACTCACTCTATAGACCGGGCTGGCCTTGAACTCACACACTAGGATTAAAGACATGCCCTCTCACTCTGCTGGACTGATTATTTTGAATTATGTGTAAGTGTATGTGTGAGTGCAGGTGCCCCTGGAAGCCAAAAGAAACTGTCTAGATCTCTTGGAACTGGAGTTACAGGTGGTTATGGACTGCCTGATATGAGTGTTGGAAACCATTGGGTACTCTGCAAGAGCAACAAGTGCTCTTAACTGCTGGGCTCTCTCTCCATGCCCCTTTAATTCTCATATAGCACACAGTAAATATATATATATATGTGTGTGTGTGTGTGTGTGTGTGTGTGTGTGTATGTATGTTACAGAAGGATTACAATTTGAAGAGGCTACAGCAAAGTTGAAGAAGTGATACATGTTTCTCTTATTGGTCGATGAATAAAGCTGTTTTGGCCAAAGGACAGGCAGGATGGAGCCAGGCAGGACGTATAGGTGGGGAAGTATACCCTGATAAGGGGAACACAGACAGTGAGTTGAGGGAGAGAGGCCATGTAGCTGCCAAAAAAGCAAGAGGCTCAGACATCACCAGTAAGCCAAGAAAGACCATGTGAAGATGCACAGATTAATAGAAATGGGTTAATAATTAAGAGAGGACTAGCCAGCCAATAAGAAGCCTGAGCCATAAGCCAAACAGTTTATAATTAAGTATAATAAGCCTCTGTATGTTTATTTGGGACTGAACAGTGGTGGGACTGGACAGAAACTTCCACAAAGAGGTTTCAGAGTGGGCTGAAGAAGTCTGTGTAGATAAGTTAACGAAACAGGTCAGTGCCAAGAGTAAGCTGCTGCTGAAGCTGCTAGAATCAGCATTGGGAACAAAACTGCAGAATTTGGCTGAGATGTGAAAAGGTCGAACTGGGTCCAGAGCAGGAAACAAAAGCAGGAGATCGGTCAGTAGCTGATCCAGGTCTAGGTGAGTGAATAGGTAGATGGGCATGAAGCTGAGTAGGCAACATTAACAGTGAAGGACCTTTGATGAACATACTGGGTATCAGATGATAGGGTGGTATGGAGCCATGCCATTGCAGTATCTGGTGCCTATCACTTATAGATTCTAGGTAAGGGAATTATGCTTTCCATAATCTGATGTGTCTGATAAGTTCTTAGGCTTGGCTCCCTGATACAGTTTTAATATGCTCATGTGCCCCCACACTTATTTCCTCAGTAAAATTATAGGAGGGCTGTCTACTTTTCTGTTTCCAAGAATAAGTCATGTATCAGTCTGTACTGAATGGTTTGAGCCTAAATGATGATGCAGTTTATGGATCCACCCAGGAGCTGCAGTCATCCTTCTTCAAAATGGAGTCAAAAGCTGCTTATAAAATGACAGCACACAGCCTGTTAAACCAGTTGATACAATACAGAATAATATAGAGTAGGGTATATTCTGATCTCAACACTGGGTTCCATTATTATGTAGTTCAGGTTGGTTTGGATTTCTGAATGTAGTGAGTCAGGTTTTGAAGTCCTTATCTGCCTGACTCCACTTCAGTGTGTGCTAGTACACCTGGCTTCTGCTTCATGTTTTTTTCCCCATTCATGAACTTCCTGTAGAGAGGGGAGTAGTTGTGTGTCTCCTAAGTCTAGGAGTCTGGAGAGATCACTCAGTGGGCAGAAGCACTTCCCACCAAGCTTGATGACCTGAGCTTGATTCTGAGACACACATGGTTGAAGGAGAGAACTGATTGTCCTCTGACCTATGCACACATGCATGCATGCATGCAATCATGCACACACACACGCACGCGCACACACACACACACACACACACACACACACGCACGCACACACACGCGTGTTTATTAAAAAATAAACAAACAGCCTGGCAGAAAGAGGCAGATCTCCAAGTTCAAGGCCAGCCTGGTCTACAGAGTGAGTTCCAGGACAGCCAGGACTGTTACACAGAGAAACCCTATTTTGAAAAAGGTAAAATAGTCCCTGCATGGAGAGAGAACAAACTAGCTTGCTATCTGATATTTGCTGATCTTCCTGATCCCCACAGGGTTAATTATTATTTCTGTGTATCTTCTTTCATAGGTTATCATATTATGTGAGAATAACTTCATGTTAACAACACCCCAGAGCCCACAATTTAATTTACTAAATGTATCTTGACTGCCTGTCCTATGCATATGCACTATGCTGGATTCTATAGCTATAGCAAGGCCTGGACAAGAAGCAATCCTGTCTTCCCAGAGCCTCAAAACCAGTAAAAAAAAAAAAAGTATGAATGGGAAGGACAAGGTGCTGCAGGGCCTGGGGAACTCTGGTATCCAGAGCCATTCTCAAGAAGTTACAAGAATACCTTCTGGGGCAGAGGATGTGGTTCAGTGGCAGAGCCCTAGCCCCATGTATGTGTGACCCTGTGCTCCAGCCCAACATCATATAAAACAAGAGTTGGGTATGATGGCTCCTGCCTGTAATATCAGCACTCAGAGACAAATGCTGGAGGATTAAAATCATACTCAGAACCTGAGACCCTATCTCAGCTCTCAACTCCAAATAAAACAAAACACCTTCCTAAACTCAAGGAAGAGTGAGCTTGAAAATACCATTTTCTTTTAAGAGTGGTATAAAGAGTGGGAAGAACATAGTGCTTCTTAGCAAGCTTGAAATTGAAAAACAAGGTACACAAGTGACCAGCAGCCTTCTCTCCTTTCTGCAAGAGGCCATTTTCCCCTGCATTTTCCTTACAAATGCAAAGAGTGTTCTCTTCATGGCTGTTAGTGCTTCTTTGCCTTTCAGTTGTTTTCAGTCTTTGAACTTTGTTCTTGTTACTGTCTTAAGTGACAAAACCCAAAATGGTTAGTAAAGATGATCAGAATTTTGTGTTGTAAAAGATTTAGTGATAATTGTATTAAACTTTTATAAAAAAAAATCATTGTGCTCAATATATTTTAAGATTTTTTTTTGAGACAGGGTTTCTCTGTGTAACAGTCCTGGTTGTCTTGGAACTCACTTTGTAGATCAGGCTGGCCTTGAACTCACAGAGGTCCACCTTGAACTCACAGAGATCCTCCAGCCTCTGCCTCTCAAGTGCTTGGAATAAAAGTGTGTACCATTAGATCCTGGCTAGAATCTTTACCTTTTGAGACATCTCTATGGCCCTGAATTTTATGAAGCATAATCATAGCACCATAGGTAATTTTTTTTAATAGAGACATAAACCCTACAGCATATAACTCATCTGTTAGTATACAATTTGTTGGTTTCATTGTACTCACAGAGCTGTCCAGCCATCACTAGAATATCCACAAAGATGTTCTACTATCAGGAGTGTCGATTTTGGATCATTTTCATTACCTCCAAAAGAAAATTTCTGTGTTCTAGCTGATATCACTTCTACTCCCTCAGCCTCTGGCAATCATTGATCCACTTTTTAAATATTTACCTATTCTAGCATTTCAATGTAAATTGAACCGCATGAAATAAGGTCTTTTATATCTGGCTTCTATCCCTAAACACTACTTTCAAGTTTCCTCCTTGCTATAGCATGTATTAGTATTTCTTTTCTTGTAATGGCTAAATAGTAGTTCATTGTGTGGTTGTACCACAATTAAAAAAAAAAAAAAAAAAAGAAAGAAAGAAACCTGATTACAAGCTTATGGGATGTTTTTACTCAATGATTTATTACATTATTGCTTTAATTTGATTTATTAATTTTTTGACACAGAGACTACTAATATAGCCTAGGCTGGCCATAAACTCAGTGTAGTCAAGGATTAATTTGACCTTTTTGCCATCTCCTTCCCTTTTGAGCCACCACTCCCAGTTTATGCAGGGCTGGCGATCACACCCAAGGAACTTGCTCTACTAATTGAGCCATATCCTCAGTTCCTGATTGCCTTAATTTAAGTTGTGCTTCATTCTTTACATAAGTGGCTGGCCTGTGTACCTGTGGTCTTTAGCAAGTGTAAAGTTTTGCCTCTCTATCTGGTAAGACTAGCTTCCTATGAGGCTTTGGCAGTTGTTGTAAGGGATAACAATTTTCTCCATGGTTCTATTGAATGTCTTTTATTAACAAGCAAGCAAACAAACAAACAAAGCCTTGTAACATTGTGTGGGCTTTTGGCTCCTTAGTTGGCATATTCATTTTGTAGGATCTTATTTTTTCACAACCTGGCACATTTATTCTGTAGGCTTCTTTTCTAGTCAGCACATTTTTGCAAGGTTGGAATGAGCAAAATACATTTCCCTATGCTACCTGTAAAAATGATTTACCGTTTTGAGCTAGGCATAGTGGCGCACACCTTTAATCCTAGCTATTGGGAAGCAGTCACAGGTGGATCTCTGAGTTGCAGGCCAGCTTAATCTACATAGTGAGTTCCAGGA